AGGGGATGGTTTGCCCTGGCACGTGCGTGGGTGACACAGCTTCAGGTATTTCTGGCACCGGCTCCCCACCTTGTTCCTCATCACCCTCTGATGCCTTGGGGCTGTGTGCTCTGGCAACATGGATCCTCAAGGGCCCGGGACAGCTGGGGGGCCCTGGGGCTCCCAGCACGGCCAGGAGCTGGGGCTGGTAGGGGAGAAGTAGCTCAGAGGCCACAACCCCTCCTGTCCCCCTCCAGCAGCCCTGCGTCCTCAATTTCTGCTCCAGATGCTTTCCTATTTGGGGCATCTCTGTCCTGCTGCTGGTCACAGAGGAGGGGTCTCACGTATCATGAGGGCAATAGCCTTTGTGTTATTAAGGCTGAAGATCACCAGCCTCTCCAGGGCATTTTCCTCTCCTCGGCAGGGCTGCCAATCCCCCCTACTGCTGAGGCACCAGGATGCTATCCATGGAAAGAAGGAAATGGCAGTTCCCAAAACTTGGGTGTAAGGCTGACCCTGTTCCCTGTGTGTTGTTTCCTTTTACACTAAATGCACTGCCCAGAAAGAATGGTCTGACATAAAAACATGCTGCAAGAGTGCTCCCTGAAACAATGCCATGCTAGTCACTTTTCCAAGAGCTACATTTCCCCCTATTCATCCCAGCTGCCAGCTCAATGGGGAGTTTCCTCCTCGTCGAGGCTGGTGTTCCCCTTCCCAACAGTGCCCGGTGCATGTGCCTGGGAATGCAGTTATAAACAGGTCAGGCCAGGGGGAGGCATCTTTTCTGTTTCTGGATAAAGCCATGTGAAAATAGTAATGAAAACAACTCCTTTCGGAGGGGGAATTCAGGGAAAAAAATTCCAAAGCCCATTTAAAAATAATCCTTTGATTAATCAAAGCTCCTTTGTTTCAAAGGAGATGAGATTAATTCCTTAAAAAAATCCAAACCATTTTTCTTCACGAGCAGCCCTTTTGCTGGTTCTACCTGTTGCTGTGCTTACCAGGGCAGCAACCAAGTGAGGATGAGGAAGAAGTAGCTGTGTATGGGAAGCACTGGAACTGGGACCAGTAATCCCCTGCCAGCCTGCTGTCATGAGAAACAGGAATTCAAAGACTAGTAACACAAAAAATTGGCATAAGTTATGTGACTTTGTTTCATTTTTTCATGCAACTGCTTAGCATTAAAAAAGCCCAAGGGTCATCATTCGTGTATGTTCTGTCACCACCTGGGTAGGGCAGCCCAGGGAGATCCAGGTTGGACCCCCTTGCTCCTCTCCCATCACACACCTTCACAGAGGAAAGCACTGGTGATGCCCAGACTGGTTGTTAATTATACCAGGGTATGTTGGCAATAACGAGGGGTGTACATTCAGACCTCCCATCCTCCTCTTGTGACTGTGATCAATAAGCAATCGAGTCATTAAAAAGAAAGCTGCTCCTATTATCTGCTGATCGATAACTCATTAGTCTCGGCCACACCTGCCCTGCAGCAGCTCTGCATGGAGGGAGGGCAGAGCAAGCAGCCCGAGGGCAGGACAGGGGCTGCAGCCCCACGTTAACGCCCTGGCACAGCTTCCCATGCTGCAGACCACCCATCTGTGGGGGCTCCCGCCGACACCAGGCAGGACACGACCCTTCCCCACACACACGTTCCTCTGCTGCTGCAGCATCACCTGTTACACAGAGCCAAGGGCAGTCGCACCTCATCGGTTACAGGGCTTTGTTGTGCAGCCTCCTGCCAGCACACGAGTGCACACACAGCCCTGGCTCTGCCGCTTGTCCCCTCACTGCCTGGGCAGGGCTGTCCCACGGGAAGATGCTGCCAGGTCCTTGCTGCTCCCTTCTCACTCCCTGTCCCCACCACAGCAACCCTGCCGACCTGCCTCCCCTCTGAGCCTCTGGTGCCCGAGGACAGCGGGGTGGTTCTTCAGTCTGGGCCCGTATCTATTATTAACATGCAATTGTCAACAGCTTTTTGTTATTGCACACCTCCACCCTCTCCGTCCCCTGTGCCCTCCTTCTGCTGCTCCCCACTGCCCCTGACAGGAAATGCTGACAGTAATAAATGGCTGGCAAAGCAATTATACACATTAAGCTGAAAAGTATGAAGCTGAGGTCAAAACTATTTTCTTCCTGTAATTACATGGAGAGTAAATTCGTTTTGCCAGGAATCGAAGCGACACAGAAGGTCACAGCCAGCAGAAGGGCTGGTCTGCCCCATGAGGGTGTTCAGCCAGCAGGGATCATCCCAACACCAAGCTGAGAGCCCAAACCCAGGCAGTCCTGCCTCACAAGAGCTTGTTTCTCCCTTTATGCTTCCCTTTTTTTTGCTTTCAGGTTACTTCCAAACTTCCCAAGTGAGAGGCTGATCTGGCAGTCCCACCTTTTTCAGAGCTGGCTCATCTTCAAACAAGACTGTGCCATCTGAAATAAGGTTTATTAAACTGTAACAGGGTTTGTTACTCTGCTAATGCACCATATTAAAAAAGCTACGAAAATCAACTGCAAGGTGTAATGAGCTGCTCGTTCTCCAACTGAAGTGTCTCAGCCAGTTTATAACTGACTTTATTCTCAACAGAGGAGGAAAAAGACCCACACCTGCAGAACCTGGGTGTTGTCCCCACCTGCCTCATTCCTCCATATCGCTGGTGCTGGGGGTGGCTGCAAATTGTCCCCACTCTGCTGGGAGGGATGGTCTGGGGAGCAGAGGCAGCTGGTGCCTGTCACCAGAGGAGCTCTGCTGATGTGTGATCACCATTGCAGAAAATGCTGGTTGTGATGGCACCAGAGGTGAACTTGAGCTCCCAGGACCCAAACAGATTCAATTTTTCCTGAGTATTAACAGAGTCTCCTGGGGGAAAGCTTATAATTGGCTTTTCCAGGGCCTTGCAGCACTGGGTTGCCTTTCCCCAGATGGCAGCTGCAGGAGCCAGCACCTCCTGCAGCCCCGTTGCCTCAGTGTCTGCTGCCTCACCACCCATTGCCCATCCCCAGCACAAATTATCTCCACCGTCCCTGGCCAGGGAACAGTTCACCCTGATGTGGCACATGGCCAGGAGGGAGCACAGAGCAGGGTTTCCTGGATGGATTTGGGATGGGGGGCAAGCTGGGCACAATCCCCAGCCCTCACAACTCTCCTTGCTCTGGGCACCAGGAAAGGCTTCTCCTGAAACCTCCTGGCAGGCTCTGAAGTGTCCAGTTTTAGCTGAATAATCACCTGCCCTGCATTAGAAGAGGATTTCCACTCTTTAAAATTAGCTTTGGTGAGTTTTTGCTTTCTTTGAATCAAAGCTCCGAGACAATTAATCACTGCCCAGCTCCTGCTGCTGCACTGAAGTGCTCAGCTTGGAACAGAGCTGCTCAGGAACTGGAATTAATCTTCCTGTAACGAGGGCTTCAAAATAACGATCACTGTCCTGCAGCCATTCCAAAGGAGTTGTTCTCCTGCCCTGCAAACAGAAGGGATCCTGCTCCAGCTTTCACTGGCAGCCAGAAATGGCAGGGGTTGCTCTGCACCCACCCCCTGCTCCCACCCTGCCCCACGCGAGGGAACAGCGTTTGGGGCACCTGAGGAGGAGGAGGGGAGCATCCCCAGCCCTTCCAGGCACCCCGTTGGCACAATGCCCTTGCACACACACAGCAGCAGGGCACGGCTGTGCCTGCAGGGGACAGGGCTCCTTGTCTCCCAGGACTGCAGAGGGATGGAACAGGGCACAGCTCCTGTCACCGACACCGGGCACTGCCGGGAGAGAAACCAGCTCTGCCACCACTGGTCACGCAGCGACCTCCAGCTGTTCTCACAGAGCAGTGGAGTTAACATCTGGCAATATCTAATGAGATTCCAGATTATTAATGACTTCCATGCAACAGTTAAAGGGCATTTCCCACAGCTGTTTATATTCCAGCAGAGGCTTGTGCAACCTTTCCCTGAGATCCCCAGAGCCCAACTGTGGCAACTGCACTCGATAAGGAAAATTCAGATCAACTCCTCTCCATTTTCCCCCCCTTTCTTTTTTTAGTTCACAGACCATGAAGGAAACAGATGGGAGTTGAAAAGAGATTGAAAATGACAAAGGAAGTCTAGAGACATTTATTTCCACTCAGAACAAATTAATTAGGTTGTCTAGGGACACCTGATTACAGCTGCTGACAGTGAGGGAGCTGCAGCAGCAGCCCCGCTCCCTGCAGGTAACGCTTAGCACACGCAGCTCGGCCAGGGCCGGAGGAAGGCAGTGCAGGCAGCACCAGGGCCCTGCTGCAGGCAGGGCTGGGATCACTTCCTGCAGGACAGGCCCTGGAAAGCCACCAGCCACTCTGCTTCCAAAGTTCCTGAGGAATCTGAAGGGTATTTTTAGGGTGCAAGCCTTTCAGCTGAGTTATTCTGGGGTTTCTTGCCTGTATTATTTAGAAAGAAAAAAAAAATCCCAAACAAACAAAACCAAAAACCCCCAAAACTTTCAAGTCATTAAAGTTTACGATTTTTCCCTTTATTTTTTATATGAGACTGTCTCTGCTTCTTCCTTCCATTTGTTTTCTGTAAGTGCCAAATGGAAAGAGAAACGCCAAGAAACAACAACTAAAAAGCATTAGAGAACACAACCTGTTGTCAGAAGTAGAAGCAGTTGAGATGTCCCGTGGGTTGGGAGTTGTCAGCTCCACAGAGGGTGTGTCCCCCCCTCCAGCTGCTTCCCCAACACCCCCATCCCCTTTTTTCTCACCTGAGGACAAGGGGCAGCTCCAGCGGGGGATGCAGGGCTCGGGGGGCTGACTGAGGGTAGAGAAACTTAAATACCAACAGGGCAGGACCCACCAGTGGGTGTCAAAGGACCCACCAGTGGGTGTCAAAGGACCCACCAATGGGTGTCCAGTACCTCTCTATCAGGTTTGAAATTCCAGGTTCTCACCTGCAGAGTCCTGGGGGTGGTGGGAGGTGAGATGCTGCTGGCCCTCTGGTTCATCCAGCCTTATTTTACGTCCTTTCATGTATTTTCAGGCAATTTTCTTACAGCTGGGACAGAGAAGGGAGGGGCTCTTGGTGCCCAAGGGCTCTCTGTTAAAGGAATGGACGCTGGGGGCAGGATCGGGCCCCAGCAGCTGAACAAGGCAGCACACCTGCTGCTGAGACCAGCACCTGCCAAGATACAATCCCAGGTACAAACAGAGGCTGGGAGGAGAACAGATAGGGAGCAGCCCTGAGGAGAAGAAACTGGGGGTGACAGCAGTAGTAGTTTGGGGAATTCAGTGACTTGGCTGCACTTCCATTACCGTGTCAGAGTTCCCCTTTCCTCATGGAAAGCTGTTCCAACAGACAAACAGCCTGAAGCTACTTGGTTATTTCTTCCTCTTCTGTGAAAATGCCCTTTGGGCATCACATTGTCTATGTGGAAATTTGCCCATTTCGTCTGGTATTGAATCCACACAGCTTCCCTCTGTGTTTCCAAGGGAAGAACACCAAATCCCTCAAGCCTGTAGACTCTGCTGCTAGATAGGGGGGTAGATATGGCAAGCATAAGGGAGTCACAGAAATGGCATAATGATTTCTTCCAAAGGATATAATTTGGAAACAGCTTTTCTATTTCCACTTTATTGGTTATTTTTAGTTGAGCAGCTGTTCTTCTGGTGTTGATATAAAACCTGTTTTTTTCATTCTGAAAGAAAGAAATTCTTTATTCTTGTGACTACAGAATTCAACTTTAGAGGTCACTTATTGTTTCCAAGCTCCATGTGCTCTGGAAGGAATCTATATTCTTCTCATATGGTTCCTGGGCATGAAAGCAATCTCTAAATACTTGGAGGATAAAATGAGGTCAAACCTGCAATTCCACACAGCTGCTGCTGAGTGAAACCTACGCTCTGGCCTGCAGCTTTGTTTCTGTCAAAGCAGTTTAGAAAACAGGGGTGGGAAATTATTTTGCAATAAATAGAAACTTACAAGCCCAGGCTGCTCTGCAACCTTGGGTTTCTTTCCAGCCACTGCCCTAAGAAGAGATTGGGAAATTCAACCGGGTGGACTAAACGTAGAGCTGAAGGAAGGGCCGTTTGACACGAGTTCTCAACTGCATCATTTCCAAGCCCCTCTGGCACAGCACAGCTTGCACACCCCCCAGCAGGGCTGGAGCTGCACATGGAGGAGCCACCTCAGACTCGGCAGGGCCTGGGGCTGCTCAGGGCACGGAGCAGGGTCCCCGCAGCCCGGCTGTTCCCACCGGATTCCCCCGTTCCCAGGGGGGATGCTCCGGGAGGGCTGCGCTCCCACCAAGGCCCACGAGCTGCTGCAGAGGCACTGGCTGCTGGGCACGGCTCCTCTCAGAAGCCCCCGTTGTGTCTGAGGCTGAGGACAAGTGTTAATTACACCGTGCTCATTTCCGAGGTGGATACTGCAGCTCCTCTCCCGCGGCAGCTGGAGCTGGGGGAATTTATGGACACATTAATACCCCATTCCGAAGAAAATAAAGCATTTTAAATGTCCTCCAAAATGCACTTACAATTTCACACAGTTCAGCAGTTGCAGAAGCTGCGTTTAGCTAAACCAGTGCTGTATTCCCAAAATAACCAGTTCCTTTCTTTTCTGTTGCCTGTTATAACACTGCAGAGGTGGTTGGACGTTTCCTCACCATCACATTGTAGTCAGATTCAATTGGTTTAACACAGAATTTAAAAACAGGTTTTTAACCCTCTTGTTTCAAAAAGCTTCCTTCCCTCCAGCC